AAAAAAAAAAAAAAAAGAAAAAGTTGTTAAATTTTGGGCTGGGGATTTAGCTCAGTGGTTCTGTCGCCTGCCTCGCAAGCGCAAGGTCCCAAGTTTGATCCCCGGTACCAAAAAAATAAAAATGAAAAATGTCCTTAGTGCTCCCTTCAGCAGCACATATACTAAAATTGGAAGGATACAGAGAAGATTAGCATGGCCCCTGCACAAGGATGACATGCAAATTCATGAAGCGTTCCATATTTTTAGGGTTTATATTCAATAAACATGGAACTGCAAAAGAAAAAAAAATGTTCTTAACAATGTACCAGCTGCTGAACGTATGTTATCAACATATAGACAGCAACAGATTAAATAATAAATAGCTCCTGTAAGAGCGCTCCAAAATTGAGAACGTTTATAGGGAAACATTAACAAAACTGATAATTCTTTAGTTACTGTTATTCAGTATCTAATAATCATCAAAAACATTTATTCAGCATTTACCAATTGCTGGATAACATTCTAAATACTGCCAGGGATTTAGCTCAGTGGTGCCACTGCCTGCCCTGCAAGCACAAGGACCCCAGTTTGATCCCCAGTACCAAAAACAAAAAACAAAAACTAAATAATATATAAATTAGTTTATTTAATCTTCCCAACAATGCTGTAAGGTATATGGACTTTTATTATCCCTACTTCACAAATGAGAAAACTGAGACATAGTTTTTAGCTATTCTACTATTTCTGTTATCAAGCTTCAAGATACTACAATTATATTCTGTAATCTATAATTCCTACAATTGTTAAACGAGAGTGGCTGTGCACACCTGTAATCACAGCACTCAGGAGGCTGAGGCAGGAGGATCACCACAAGTTTTAGGCCAGCCTGGGTTACATAGTGAGTTAAAGGCCAGCCTGAACTACATAGCAAGACCTTGTCTTAAAACAAAACAAAACATGTTGAGACAAACATTCTGTACTCAAAAAGATCAAATATTTAAATTTAGTAACTCTGGCTATCTATGAGCTCCTTGGTTTCATAAACTCTTGAGAATGTTTGTCTATGGTTACAACTCTATAGCAGTGGTTAGGTATGTAATTACTCCTTTATGACTCAGAAGATGCTTTCAGAATTTAGTGGTACTGTGGAATAGCATGCGGCCTGCCTCTGTTTCTTCTTCAGAAAATAACTTTTTCTGCCTTAAGCTTCTTTGTCCTTGAAGTTCTATAGTTTTACCAGATTGATTAATATTCTGAAACACCTTTCCTGGGATATATCAGGACTCCAGAGAAGTAGATTTGAGTATTTTTGAAGAACTTTTTTATTTACTGTATCATTTAATACTATTTATTCAAATTTTTACAGAAATTCCAATTATCCATTTTATGTATCTCTTTTTTGTCATATCTTCTTTATCATCATGTCTGTAATCACTTTTATTTCTTTGTTCTTTTTCATTTTGTGTGGTTTTTCTCAAGATTGTCTCTCTAGTTTCTGATTGTACTGTTCCATGATAATTTGTTCACTTATTCTCTACCTCAGATATAGAGACTTGATATTAACATACCCCACAGTTTATGGTGTCATGACCATTTGTCCAAGGAAGGGCTCTTTTCAGTTTAATTCTTTATTTGTCCCTTCTAGACCCCATAGTTTATTCTCTTTCCCTCTCTCCACTCGTAGGAAAAATCCCAATGTACTTAAAAATACCTTTTGTGTGTACATTTTTTTTTTAGATAAAATCTTGCTATGTAGTTCAGGCTGGCCTTGAACTCACACC